AGCAGGGAAGTGCAGTATCGAAACAAAGATTATCCCACTGAATTGTGGATGCCATTTCACTCGCTTATTCGAGCAGAGATGAGCCGTGTCCCCCGGGAGTGCGTGCACACTCCACTTGGAGCGTTGCATCCTCTTGGGCTTGTGCACGCGGCGCCTCTTTAACAGACATTTGTAGAGCTGCGAGCTGGGCGACACACAACACATTTGCAAGGTTTTACAATCTGCGAGTGGAGCCGGTTTCCCCAGGGGTATTAGGTAACCCTTTGGTGATTGAGGAAACAACCCGGTAGGGTGTTGAAACACGCTTGCTGCGCCATTCTCCCTAACATGGAGATACGTGCGCCTTTTAATCTGTCAGTAAAGTCCCCGTCAGGTGAGCCCTGCAGATTCCTCCGTGGCCCCCAGCACTGACTTAGCGGAGGAATCACTTGCTGGCCCACTACGTTGTAGGTCCCGCTGGTCAGCCCGCGTTTTGGGTATAGGTGCCTGCTATGCGTGATCCCATATGCTTATCCTACCAACTCCACTAGGCAATCCCATATGCTTATTCTGCCACGGTTAAGTCCCCCCCTGGGTGGACCCATGTCTTCCCTCCTTGCTAACCACTTTTTTTCTATGCATACTCCCCCCTCTTATGGCTAGTCCATATGTAAATTCTGCCATCTTTCCCCCCTTGGGTAGCGGATGGCCTCCGCAGCATCCTCCCTATCGGGATTGCACGCTTCCCAACGTACTGTCGTATTTTCCTAGAATTATCTAGACGCTCATGACTTCCCAAAAATATATCTAAATCCGTAAAACTTCTGTTGAAGTAGGATAAATTAGGGCCAGGGACACGTTGGAGGACTGCACCTCCCATGATGTGGGTGCGTCACGCTTGCCTGACTATCCCCTCATCGGGGGCGTTGGTAAGGTGCAGTCATTATGGCGCTTTACATAGTTTTTCCATACGTGCATTTTCAAAATCAAATCCACTGTATAGCACAGAAGTAACCCTTCATTCCCCGAGGAGGGGAACAGAAGTGCTATACTCCGTCGCCATAATGACTGTCCCTTAGCTGTTTGAAAGTCTCTTCAGCTTAAAAGGATGGCGTTTGCTCGCACCAGGTGTGCTTATATGCTGGTATAATTGGCAATGAAGCACACCTGCGCAGGCTTACGCTGCCAATTCATTGCGTTCTTTGGCCCGTTCAATACTCTTTCAGTCAAGTGTCTTCTGAACCGAATCCTCCCATACGTGGAATTTCAAAATCAAATCCACTGTATAGCACTTCCGTTCCCCTCCTCGGGAAACAAAGGGTTACTTCTGTAACCTCGAATGTTTCACAGAGCTAGCTTAGCAAAGCCTACATTGAACGAATTTTAGGGGACTACAAAAAATACTTCCGCTCCCTGTGAGATCACAAAAGTTCGTTACTGTGCATCCAAACTGCGCATGCAGGTAAGGGCCGTGGCCAGAGGCGCTGTAACGTTATAGCAGAGATTAAGCTAAAAATGCATCCAAACACTGCTGTTTCCACAGAGCTTCATCTATTTCTGAATTTTGACTTCCAAAGGACATGAAACAAAGACAGAAGTGCTTACAGTTCAACATTAATTATGTTCCAGAGAATTATAAAATACTCAGCAAGCATGATTTGACAAAACAGCTCCAGAATCTCTCCCAGTTCAGTGCTGGATTTGGTAAAATCTTCTCAAAGCAGAAGCTGTGAGCTATAACCTGTAAGTGTTTTATTAGTTAAAATGTATCATGACTTGTACAGTGTCTAGCGTTAACGGTATGTTGTAGGAATGATGTAAACAATGGGAAATGCTGCTTTTTGGGCAAACGATTTAGCTACAAATTCACATTTATCAGTCAAACTGCTGTAAACACACACACACTCCACCAGCACGTTCGTGTCTCTTATGTGTGTGCGCGCGTGACTGCATTGATTGTCTTCAGGCAGCTTTTCCATGTGTTTCACATCTCAGATAATGAAGTCGCAAAAGATATGTGAAAGATTTATATTACTTACACCTGCATATTAGGGATATATATGAAAGCCGTCGTGTAAAAAGAGTTAAAAGAAAGAAACATAGAGTTAAAAAAAAATACAGGTTAGCTTACCTGACTCGTGGTAGAAGCAGAATAATAAATCAAGGCTCAACAGGTAGCATCTCACATCTTGTGCTTTATTCTTCTGTCACGATATATTACAGAAAATAACTTAATCCGAGCATCAGAGAAAAAGAAAGAGAAAGTCCCGCGCACATGTGCTTGTTACAGAAAGTTCACACATTCACTCACACACACACACACACACACACACACACACACACACACACACACACATAGACGCACACAAAGACAAGGGGCCTCATATACGAAGAATTGCGTGGAAATCATACTAAAACATTGCGTACGCACAAAGCTGTAAATGTGCGTACGCAGAAAAAAATTCAGATGTATGAAACACTGCGTACGCTGAATCTCACTCATATTCTTTTGTACATCCGAATGAACGTGAAACTGAGCGCAACATGCACGAGCACAAAACCCCTCCCTGCCTCCTCCCTCGTTTGAATATGCAAATGACTCTACTTTGGCAAAACCCAATAAAAAAAAAAACGGCAAAAGCAGGCAAGAAGAGAAACTTTGAACAGAAAGTGAATTGGAGGTGCTGCTTTCGGAGGTTTCGGAAGTTTGTTCTCCAGAATTAACAACAAAAGAAAAAAATAGAGTGGGAGAGTTTAGCTGATGCGGTTAACACAGTTGGGTCTGAACATCGCACTGAGTGAATTAAAAAAGAAATAGTGTGATTTATAGGTGTAAAATGTTGCAGCACCCTCAACATTCTCAGTAGCACAGCTCGTAAGACGCATGACAACATTTTTTGACACGTTCGAGCATGAACTTGGTTCAAAAACAGCGTCTGATGAGCTCTTTCTTTTTTTTCCCCCGCTACATATCAGATTTTGCCAACTATTTATCACGAGAAAGACAAGTAGGAATCTTTAATAAGTCTGTGCATCATATTTTATTTACACATTTATTGAATGGAAATGTTTCTGATTCATGTATGCAAATTCATCTTCAGATAGTGTCTTTATAGCAATGCGTGTGCAGTAGATAGCTCAGATTACATTGGGAAAACAGGCGACCGCTGCAAATTTTGCTTTAATGTTTAGCTGGTCAACTGTATGGTATGGAAACCTTTTATACCTGCTAGATGAACCCGTCTCATACAGCTGCCATTGCAAGGCTCAGACACTTTGTAGAGAGCAATTTAACACAACTGCCTCTAGGAGTCGCCAATGGAAATAAAACAGACACGCACAAAAAATGTGCGAACGCCAGCCAGAAAGCTGCCGTGAAGCTGCGCACATTCCCACGTTCAGTTCATTGTTAGTAAATCCAAACGTGAGCGATTCTGAGCGTGAAACCTGGCGTACGCACAAAATATACATGATACATGAGGCCCAAGGTCTCTTAAAGGATTTTCCCATTTTCACTCGTTACAGACACTTGTCAGATTTTATTTTAGAGAGCAGGCAGGAGGTTGACTGATTGTTTACACAGCAGAAAAGCGCATGCTTTTATGGGCGTGATGTGAAGCTGATCCGCGAATCGCAGCACATTATGACGATGACCAATCAGAGTCACTTAAGGGCGGGTCTTTTAGAGGAACTAGGAATTTTGACAGTCGTTTTCATGTTAGCTGAGTAGCTGTGTATAGTAAGATATATATATATATATAAAACAAGATTTCCTTCAAGTGAAACATGAGCACACACTGCTTTGCATCTTATAAAAACAACCAAGCCTTAAAAATACATTCTGGACCACCCCTTTAAGAGTGACAATGATATACCTAGCTCTGGGAAATTTCTACTCAAAGTGTAGCTCACTTATCTCAGTAGTGTCCTTTTGTTCAATCTCTGTGGATTAAAGTGTTTTTTTTTTTTTTAATGATTTCATTATGCAAAATAACAAAATAATCTTAATCATTAAGACTTAATAAAAACACCTTGTTTTGGGTTTTACATTAATATATATATATATTGGACAGTTTTATATGTATAAATGTACAGCCCTTTTAGCATATTCAAACATGCCATATTAGCCTAAAGAGTGATGTTTAAACTCCTAGGATTTGTGCTTATTGCTTTGTATTTAATAGGCCTATTTGTTTTTTTGTTTATATTACCCTTTTGTTTCCCCTTATTTTTCTCATGCATTTGTTATATAGGCTACTTAAATTTAATTCATATTCCCTTTTTGTTTAAAAATAAACTATAGTTAGAAGAGACTGTATGTTTTATTTGTACTGTAAATCTTTTGTTGTTATAAATAAAAAAAATGATGATGAGGCCATGTGATTTGTTATCATGACTGCTGCAACTTTGAACCCTGAAGTGTCCTGCCTGAAGGCTCCATTTTCAGTTCCGTTCCTGGCTGTGTTCGGCTAATCTCGTCAACTGCAGCCATAGTTCAAGTTAAACACACTTATTGTGTCTTGTTTCTGCTCTGTCTTCATTGGGGCAGTGGTTTAAACAAGTATGATTTGATTTTGTCTGTAAAATCTAGCTTCTCTTCCTCATTATAATAATTGCATTGGTAAAAACTCTGCACCAGAGGGTACTGACAGTGATTAAGGTGGACAGTAATCTTCCACAACTAAAAGCAAACTGTTAATCAAATCTCCCTCTATTTAGTTGTGATGCTCATCTTTAATCTATCCAGTTGTTTCCCAAAGTATAAAGTCATGCACCGCTCTACTTTTAGTTTTTCTCATTGCAGAACCTATTCAATATGATGGATGTCACAATTGTGTAATAAGATAAATCTAAACTTGATTCTTGAAGACTTTAAATCTAATGAGAACAGGCCATACTAACTAGAACCTATCTGAAAACAATCAGACTTATCAATAAAAAGCATTAAAGAGCATCTTTTAAAAAAATAATAATAATAATGTTTAATAGACTTTATGCCTGATCCATTTCCTGTTTTACAGCTGCAGCAGAAAATGAAGATGAACTGAGGATTGTTCTTCTGGGAAAAACTGGAGTTGGTAAAAGTTCAACAGGAAATACAATCTTAGGAAGAGATGCATTTGCAGCGGACATATCTCAAGAATCTGTTACTGTAACGAGTCAGAAAGAATCATCTGAAATCAATGGCAGACTCATCACTGTGATCGACACTCCAGGACTGTTTGATACTGAACTCAGTAATGAAGAGATCAAGAGAGAAATCAGCAACTGCATCTCCATGATTCTGCCTGGACCACATGTGTTCATCATTGTGCTTAATTTAGGACAGAGATTCACTAAAGAGGAGGAAACATCAGTGGAGTTCATCCATGAGATGTTTGGTAAAAAATCTCTAATGTTTACTATGGTGCTCTTCACCAGAGGAGATGATCTGAAAAAGAAAACCATTGAAGGATTTCTGGGTAAACCTGGATCTGTGGTCAGAAAACTGATAGAATCTTGTAGAAACAGATACCATGTGTTCAACAATAATCAGCCTGAAGACCGAACACAAGTGTCTGATCTACTGGAGAAGATAGACAACATGGTGAAGGCAAATGGAGGAAGCTTCTACTCATGTAAGATGTTCAGAGAGATGGAGAGAGAAAAACAAGAACAGCAGACAAGGATCCTGATCGACAGAGTCAGAGAAACAGAAGAAGAGATGAAGAAACTAAAAGAAGAGAATGAGAGAATGAAGATGATGATGGAGAAATTAGAACATAGTAAGGAGAAACAGAGAATGAGAAGAGCAGCAGATGAATATATAAAAAATGAACAACTATTTAAAATTCAAACAAGCAGAGAACTACAGGAATTGGAGAAACCGGAACAAAAACAGAAGCAAAGAGTCAAAGATGAAGAAAAGAGAGAAAAAGAAAAGCAAAGTTCAGATGAACAGATTCAGAGTTTTAAGTATGAAATAGAACGAGTAATCAAAGAGAAAGAAAAAACAGAAAAAGAAAGACAAGTACAACTAGAGAATTTAGAAAAGGAACTGAAAAAAGAAAAAAAACTGAGAGAAGATCAACAAAAGACTTTTGAAGAGAAACTGAAAGATCAACAAAAGACTTTTGAAGAGAAACTGAAAGATCAACAAAAGACTTTTGAAGAGAAACTGAAACTCTATGAAGAGCAGAATGAAGTTGAATTGAAGAGAAGACCAGCAACATCAGATGCTGCCATTTTTGGCAAGAATTTTTTTCAGAAATTGAAGGACCCCATTGAGCAGAGTCTCTATAAAAAAACTGCCAGAGATTTAACAAATGAACTGAGATCAAACTGTGAATCACTGAATGGAAACAGATCAAATCTGGAGAAACACATCCTGAAGACACTTGCAGAAGAGGAGGACTTTGACAAATACATGAACTACTTTAATAATCCCAGAGATCACTTCAAGAGTTTCATCAGAAATGAAGTCAGTCGCTACATCAGAGATAAGTTCAGCATCAGTGTTTTACCCAAGATGGAGGAGAACATTAAACTCCTGCAGCAGAAGATCATGAACGCAGCACATCAATCTACTGAACATGTTCAAGTTAACAGTGGAGATGTTGGTTTGTGGTTGAAGAGTTTCACACAGCAGCTCTCAGATCAGCTGATCTTCTCTGAAAAAGACCTCAGTGGAGTCAAACATGATGATGTTGATGATTTCACACTCCTGGAAGATGTGATCAGACAAGAGCTTACAGCTGTAATGTCAGACATCAGCAGCATATTCAACACATACAAATTTCTAGTAAAGCTGGACTATAAGTTCAGGCCAGAAGAGCTTCTGATTGATCACTTCTGTCAGTGCTGTTGGGTTCAGTGTCCGTTCTGTGGAGTCACTTGCACAAACACCATAGAAAACCATGATGGAGATCACAGTGCTCCTTTACACAAAGTGAGAGGAATTATTGGTACATACTACCATTTAACACTGAATCTTTGTGCTGATATTTGTACAAATGTAGTAGTGAGTGAACAAGATATGAATGCACCAAACAAAAGGATCCTCTTAAGAGAACACAGATCAGCAGGAGGAGCTTATGCTAACTGGAATATCACTCCAGATGACTCTGAACTGCCCTACTGGAAGTGGTTTGTTTGCAGATTCCAGAAAGATCTGGAAAAAAAGTACAATAAAACATTTTCGGGGCTCAAAAAAATCCCAGATAGATGGAGACTATATTCAAAACAGTGTGCTATTAAGAGTTTGGATCAATATATTTAATGAAAAAGATCATACTCACACCTGTTCTCCTCAGATCAGTCAGAAGTGAGTTTCTATTACTCATTATTCATCATCGAGAGTCAAAACCCATCATCTCACAGGTGCAGAGGATCACCAAATACGTTACAATCAGATCAAAAACATTGTAAATGGATTAAAAACTGTATTTCTGCACTTGCTGTAGCTGGTGGTTGAAATGCTTTGTAGTCGAGAGCTCTGTCTCAAGTCTTAATTTGTGCCTTAATCTGGACTATTGTACTACTTAAACCAACAATGCATCTTAGAGGACAGGTGTGGGTGCACAATTGAATAAGAAATCCTACCTTACCAGACTTAAAATAATAAATCTACAGCCAAAGACCCACCTAAAGACCAAACAGATCTGGCTGTGCTAATGGTGCTAAAACAACAAGAGGCTACTATCCCTTGTTTGTTTATTCTGCCATCTTAAAGATAAAAGTGGTTGGTGATAAGATTCTGTAGTTTCACTCACTCTCAGAAAACAAAATCTTTCTTGCAGGCAAGCAGAATGCTAAATACTGAAGACAATTGTTTATATCAGATGCCCTCCATTCAAACTAACTTGGTGCAAAAGTGCTAAAGGACACTTCTTCCTCCATCATCCATCTACTATATGTGCTACTGAACCCAACCTAAATTGCTCTGGTAAACACACACAACTTTGGTAAATGTCTGATGTTTGAATGGACTTGTGGCTGACGCATACCACAAGCACAGTGAATATGATGCTAGTTAGTGTTACACTTTAAAGAAGGAGACGAAGTTCGTTCTTGTAGCAACACATTTATTTCTGTTTAAACACAGGAAAACACCGTTTGGTTAAGTAGCACGCTAGTTGTGTCTGCCATGCAGCTAACCATACACTTGACTACTGCTTCCTTGTGCTATGGACACCTACAGATGTTACTACTTCAATGTGTTCCTTTTGCCACCATTCATACCGCAGCGAAGGCGGTAATTGGTGCGCCAGCAGCTGTTGACTGCTGGGTGGCACTTTAACCACAGATATTCAGCTTTGCCTTTTCACAATACTAAACAGACGATTCTGAATGCGTACTTTATGTGATGTGATGTTCAATTAAAATATAATTTTGATTTAGTTTTCTTAGTAATAAACATGATCTTACACTATACTGTATGTTTTAGAAAAGATACATGGTGAGAAGTATAGCCCTAGGCTGCAAAAAGCAAATATAAGAATTAAGTTCTTTAGCCTTTATTCAATTCAATTCAGCTTTATTTGTATAGCGCTTTTACAATGTAGATTGTGTCTAAGCAGCTTCACATTAAAGTTCAGTTCAGTTTAGCTCAGTTCAGTGTGGTTTAAATCATTACTGAGAGTCCAAACACTGAAGAGCAAATTCACCGATGCGTAGCTCTACAGATCCTGAACCATGCAAGCCAGTGGCGACAGCGAAGAGGGAAAAAACTTCACCGATAGGAGAGTGAAGAAAAAAAAAAGTGCCCTTTAGTGCCCTATTAAATTGTGTTGGGGTGAAAACAATGTTTCGTTTTTTTTTACCATCATGGCGATGTTATTAAAATCTTAAACGTGCGCATATGAAAAACAGCAAAATAATATTAAGATTATCGTGCAGGTGGAGCACATCACCTGATTGTGAACTTGTGATCACCTGAACTTACTTTATCAGTAGGCTATTTATTATTTATTACAGGCTATGTTACAAATATTTGACCAACTGCCACTTCATGTAAAACACTGTCATGTTTGAATAAATTAATTAAATAAATGGACATATCAGCACGCAAAGTGAGCCGCATATTTTTTATTGTCTGTTTTTTTTTTCTGTTCATTTTCTCTTTCACACGCATGTAGAGAAAGAAAAAAAATTGCTTGTTTAAAAAATCATTATGTCAACTAATGTATAATAATAATGAGAAGAATAATAATAAAAATATTAATTAGCTAATAGTAATTACCTATATCCATAATGCTGGGATGTGTTGTGCTTTGACTCGATATCTGGGTCAAAAGCAAAATTGTTACGTGTTGCATGGCAGGCTAGCCTATAGTGTGGAAAAATATAATTAGTTTCCCAAAACCATTGTTAGCCAACTAAGTTCTTGTCATTACAAACATAGTTCGTTGATTTGCCGTTTCCCAAAAGTTAGTTTATATTAGTTTAGTTTTTACATACAGTATTGCATAGACCTTAGTTTTCATCGGACTAAAATTAAGGCATGGATTCTGAGTTATTATTTAAAACATAAACCTGCATTTTAATGACGGATGTGGGTTTCACAAAATACTTTTCAAATAAATGTTTTTGTATCATTATTATTTAATGTGAACAACACTTAATAAAAATTTAAATGTATTTATTTCACCATTTATTGGAAAAACTATTAATTACATGCTTCCCGCACTTGCGGTGGTAGCCGGATTGAAGCACATTATTTACCCACATCACTTTAACTATATGCGACAAACAAAACATAATTCCATTTTTAATAATAATAATTGTATTTATTATGACACTTTTCTTTTTTTCTAATAACGAACAATTTCAACTGCGGGGAGATGCCGACAGTTTGTTTTGCAGTATTTTCTAACATGTTAGAAGCAGGCAACGGACACCAGCTGGCCATAGAGACGGGCCGGCACAGAAAAACATGGCTGCCGGTGGAGGAGCGGCTGTCCCCACACTGCCCTCAGCTGATTGAAACGGAGCTGCACTTCCTTACTGAGTGCAGATAATACACAATATAATTACAACAGAAAGACATAAAACTTAACAAATTACGTGTCCCCTTTTGTACACTTAAACAATAGTGTCATATCTTGATAAAATAGCCATATTGAAATGGCCTATAATTTAAAGAATTACAAATATCGGATATAATAAAATCGCATTAAATAAATAAACCAATATAAAACAAGCAAAACCTAGCTATAACAGTTTAGGTAGGCCTATATAGCCTACATAAATGAAACCGTTAAAGCCATATAAAATACGTTTGAAAAACGTAACACTTTCCTTAAGATCACAGAATAATATGCAACATCTAAGTGTCATATAGCCTATAAGGAAAAATGCATATGTTACATATCGAACTCCAGCACTATAAGTGGATTTGATGTTCTAAATCCACGTATGGGAGTCCATTGAAAGCGCCATAATGACTGCACCTTACCAACGCCTCCGATGAGAGGGCAGTCAGGCAAGCGTGACGCACCCAAATCATGGAAGGCGCGGTCCTCCAACATGCCCTTGGCCCTAACTTATCCCCACTTCAAAGAAGCTTTACGGAATAGGTATATTTTTTGGGAGTCGCTCGCGTCTAGATAATTCTAGGAAAATACAACATTATGTTGGGAAGCGTGCAATCCCGGTAGGGAGGACGCTGCGAAGACCATCGGCACCCAATAGGGAGACAAATGGAATTACATATGGACTAACCCTAAGAAGGGGGAGTGCACATAAAAGTGGTTAGCGGATAGGGAAGGCACGGGTCCACCCAGGGGGGAAACTTAACCGTGGCGGAAAAAGCAAATGGGGAACACCAGCGTGGACACGGCACTTCCCTGCTGCCGTCCGCCATAACAGACAAAGAGCTGCTCAGAAGATCTAAAGAACTGAGTACGGTCCACATAAACGCGCAGGCGCAAACTGGAAAAGTAAAAAAAGGGGGCATGAGAGGGGAGCAAGTTGGATTAATTCGCCTAGCGCCTCTGAGGAACCGGATGATGAGGTTATGCTTTCCCACGGTGCCGCCAGCCACCGCGTCATGGTGAGCGGAGATGGCGGCAACGTAAACCTTGAGAGTGGAGAGCGACAGCCTACTGTCCAGCTTCTCTTGAAGGAAAGAGACGACAACACTGATCTGGCAAGATCGGGGGTCTTCTCTGCGAGAGACACACCACTCAGTGAATAGAGTCCACTTTAGGGCATAGGCGCGCCTCGTGGTGGGGGCTCTAGCCTGAGTGATGGTATCAACCACCGCGGGCGGCAGGTTACCTAAGTCTTCCTTGCGTCTAGGGACCACACGTGGAGGTTCCAGAGATCGGGGCGAGGGTGCCAGACGGTGCCTTGTCCCTGAGAAAGTAGGTCCTCTTTCAAGGGGATCTGCCATGGGAGGGCCGTCGCGAGGAGGGAGAGCTCTGATATCCAGCTCCGGTTGGGCCAGAGGGGCGCAACTAACAGAACCTGCTCCTCATCCTCCCTGACCTTGCACAGTAACTGCGCGATCAGGCTCACTGGGGGAAACGCATACTTGCGTATGCCCCGAGGCCAGCTGTGGGCCAGTGCATCCGTGCCGAGAGTGCCCTCGGTCAGGGAATAAACAACTGGCAATTAGCGTTCTCAGGGGAAGCAAACAGATCGATCTGGGCCTCCCCGAATCGCGCCCATATCAGCTGGACAGACTCGGGGTGGAGTCTCCATTCTTCAGAGTGAATCTGCTGCCGTGAGAGCACATTGGCTGCACAGTTGAGCATACCTGGGATGTGAATGGCGCGCAGCGACTTCAGCCACGGGTGACTCGAAAGGAGCAAACGGCGGACGAGCTGAGACATGCAGCGAGAGATCTTGATCTTGATCTTGAAGCCAGTGCTGAAGTGGTCTCATATGGAGCAGTCCAAGCGGCGTGACAACCGCGGCGGAAGACATATGCCCCAGGAGCCTCTAAAAATATTTCAGGGGGACAACTATTTTGCTGTCGAGCTCCCTCAGACAGTTCAGCAGCAGGCGAGCGCGCTCTTCAGAGAGGCGCGCTACCATGGTGACCGAGTCCAGCTCCATCCCGAGAAAAGAGATCCTCTGCACCGAGGCAAGTTTGCTCTTTTCCCAGTTGACCTGCAACCCCAATAGGCGAAGATGCCGGAGCACCTCGTCTCTGTGCGCAGTCAATTGCTCCCGAGAGTGGGCTAAAATCAGCCAATCGTCGAGATAATTGAGTACACGGATGCCCGCGAGCCGAAGGGGCGCTAGGACACCCTCCGCGAGTTTGGTGAAGACCCGCGGAGACAGAGAGAGCCCGAAGGGGAGGACCTTGTACTGCCATGCTTGACCTTCGAATGCAAACCGCAGAAACTGACGGTGGCGTGGAAGAATGGAGACATGAAAATACGCGTCCTTCAGGTCTATGGCTGCAAACCAATCCTGAGGGCGGACGCATCGGAGGATTCGCTTCTGCGTAAGCATTCTGAACGACAGCTTGTGCAGACAACGGTTCAAAATGCGCAGATCTAGGATTGGCCGTGACCCACCACTCTTTTTGGGTACCCGCTCTCCATCTCGGCTGGAGGTACCGGCTCAATTGCACCCTTCGCCAGGACGGCAGCAATCTCCTCTCGTATGACAAGCAGAGCCCTCGCTAATGACGTCATCGCAGCAATCGCTGACGTTCCCGCGGAGGGGCAGCGCGGAGCGGGTGTGCTGATCCGGGGAGCGCGAGGGTCCCACCGAAGAGCTGGAGGAGAGCGATTCGCTCTGGCTCCGCACCCTGACTCCGGAAAAGGGGCTTGGGGGCTGGGAGAAGGGAGACCGTCCCCCCAGCACCCGTGAGCCGCTGGCGGAGCATGTAGACCCTGCGAGCTGAGAGGCGGCGCGTCCCAAACTGGCAGGGCTTGCAGTGCTCGTGAGCCACTGGCGGAACGCACCGAACCTGCGAGCTAGAGGGCACAGTGTCTCAGACTGGCAGATTTCGGGCTGTCACATCCGGGGAAGTGGAAAAGTGCCCTTTCATTTTATGGCAGTAAAAGTTGCCGTTGGAAATGGCGCCCCGCCCTCCAGCGGGGAAGAGCAAGTCCCCTCTTCTTTAGATGACCTGTCCCAGGGACGCTTCGCGGTCCGTTGCCGGACTTAGCGGCGTTCTGGGCAGGGGGAGCTGCCTGCTTCCGAGGTGCTCGATGCGCTCGCTTCGCCGGAGGCATGTGCGGTGCAGCTCTCGTAGACGGCGAGGAGCAGGTATGGATGGCACGGCGGGCGGAGCGGGCTTACGGATTCGCCGATAAGACATCACCCATCAGACTGCTCTCTCACCGCCTCGAATTCCTGGGTGAATTCGCAGACAGTGTCGCCAACCAGCTTGGGATATGGGCTAGTCAAGAAAGCGGACTTTGTCGACTTTGCGCAT